CAGCAACACTTGTTCCAACAGTGTCTTTAACTCCACTTTATCGTTGTCGTTGTTATTTTCACGCCCACTGAAAAAGATTGAGTTTTCTAAGCCGCTCTAATTTTGGATCGTTATTTAATTAAAGCGATAAAGTGGTCGGCGGTTGACCGCTGCACGACCAAACTTTACCCATTTGTTGCACGACAAGTTATCCACCTTTCGAAGCGGCGTGAGTTTTCCGTGGCGAGCAGGAACAGTGCTTCTCTCAGTCTGGTCGGTATCCCGGAGAATGATTCATGTAAATAACATTTGTGATAACCGAACGTAATTTTTGTGGGAATGCGCCTCGAGTCTAGCAGTCTGGCCAACCGAGGATGTAGCCAATTGCCGCGAAAGATTCGATGTGATGTCAGCCTTTCTAAATGGCCCACGAACTCGGCCTGCTTCAGCAACTGGCGAATGTGACCCTGGATTCGCGCGATTATATCTCCTTATATCTCGTATATTTAATCTTTTCTAACTTTTATACGAAACGATATTATATTATTCGTTCTAACTATATATATATATATCTTAAATTGTTATTTGCAGATCCCCTTCTCATCCGAGAGAAAAGAAATTTTGTGAAAATGAAAGGAACGAATTATTAATCTCTCGTTATCAATCGATAAATATATTTCTTCGTTAATTGAGGAAAGATGAATTAACGAAGCAAGAATGACGTGTATCGATCTTTGCGTCGAGGAAACGAGAATATCGAGGAGATGTGAGCGTAAAAAGTAAAAGGATCCGTACCTCCTTCTCGAGACCTTGGATGTCATTGACCGCGAGGCCGATCATCAAGTTCATCAGGACTATACTAGCGAGCATGACGAAAGCAAGGAACACGACCCTGCTCGTGGCTGTTAGGAAGGAACTCCCATTCTTCTCGTCCGAGAACAGATCCCCGTACTCGTACTCACCCATCATCATTACCACGGTCTTCACGACGGCCCTCCAGGAATTGCGAAACTGGTCGTTCCCGTGGAACAAAACGGCGAAGCTGAACGCGAATCCGACAATCAGGCAGACGAACGCTAGGAGAACCTGAAAGGAAATAAAAAGCCCCAGATGCACGTTGTTATAATCGCGGGAGAGGGTGGTAGGGCTGCGCGAAGTGGCAGGGGTAGGCAAGTGGGTCCTGATGGGAGCCGTATCACCGACCAGACATTTAGAACCTTGCTTCTTCCTTTCCCTCCCCTCCCCTTCTCTTTAGCTTTTCATTTCTAACGATATTCGCCGAAGGGAAGAGCTCGTCGCTCTCTTATACCTTTCGTTTCGGCTAAATGCGGATCTTTTCCGTCATACAGACGGAATTAAAAAAAAAAGAAAAAAAGAGAGAGAGAGAGAGAGAGAGAGAGAGAGAAGAAGAAGAAGAAGAAGAAGAAGAGAAAAAGAGAAAACCCTCCCTCGACATTAAATCAGGGTTAACGTTACCCTCTCCCTTCCCCTCCCCAGTTGAAACTTCTCCCGGTGAAAGAAAGAAAAAAAAAAAAAAAACGGTGTTCTTACGGTGTCGAATGTGGCTGCTTTTTATTCGCGCCCGTTTAACCGCGACTCGACGCGCTTTAACGAGGGAAATTGGGAGGTTCTTCCTCCTCCCAAACGGGGGATTCCTCGTTACTTTTTTCCCTTCGTCGTCCCTTCCCATTCGTCGATTCGATCCGTGGATGGGATGGGGCGGGGAGGAAGGGGAGAGATTATTATTATTATTATTATTACTCGCATCGCGAGCGGCAAATCATCATGCTTGATTACTCACTGACCTTCAGAATATTCTTCAGCACCGTGGAGAACATGAGCGCATAATTTCCGCACATTGGGAGGCGACCGATTAACAACATCATTTGCATCCAGGCAACAAGGATCGCCAGGCTGATGGAGTGCAAGATCCACTGCGGGGGGTGACGAGCGTTTAATCCTTCTTCCCCTGACGACGAGGCCGTGATCTCGGTTGCGTAATCTTCGTTCATTGAAATCGTGAACGATATCATGGAGCATGCGTACGACAACCACGTCTCCAATTGTCTCAAATAATATCTATTTTGTTTTCAAAAATATATCAAAGATTAGTAAAGTGAGTAAGATTCGATCAATTGTTATTTATTATATTTATTTATTATTTATTTATTTATTTATTTATTTATTTATTTATTCTTTTCAATTGCAAACTAACTTAGGCACCATCAACACCTGAATTGTGTAATGAAGGAAGATGATTGTCGAACAGGAAGCGAGAATTCTTCGTAACGGGGTGCAATCAGTCTGGTGGTACTGTATCGTTATGGAGTAACCAGACAGGGAAAGGACCAGCAGGGCGTGGATAAAGACGAGTGTAAAGAAGAACACTCTCAGCTTGGACCACTTCAGCCAGAGGAACGTTTCCACCAACGGATGTTGCAGTATCGTCAATTGTTCCACGCTCGAGGCTGCTGCAATAAGGGACGTAACTACTCCCATTTGCAGCTCCCCTTTCGGCGCTAGCACGTTGAAGTCAACGATGATCTTTGAACAGATTGCGGTGAAAGAGGATAGAAAACATGTTTGGGACATTTTTGCGCAGTAAATCACATGGTAGGAGTTACCTGAGAACTTCTGTTGCAATTCGTTTTAACGCAAGAATCGAGAATGTCGTTCAGCAACAGGACAGGTGTCGGTATGTGGGCGAATATTGCCTCGATGACGGTAACTCCGGTCCTGGTTTCCGCGGCTAAATTTCCACCATGATCGATCAATATCTCAACGCATTTGGAATTTCCTTGATAAGACGCTCTGTGCAATGGCGTTCGATCAATCTGTATGGAAATGCAAGGAACGAAGAAGAAGAGGAAGAACGATTATATATTGATTATATGTTATGAAAGAATCGTTGGAAATGGTAAAATTCTATGGGAGAGAAAAATATGTATATACGTTATCTCGAATATCGATTTGATGAGAAGATATACTCTCTAGAAGGATCGAAAGTATCTCTGGGTTGCCCGCATTGGCAGCTAGATGAAGAGGAGTACTTCCTGTGCTTTTGCATTGATAAAGAGGACATGCACCACCGTTCAGTAACCTTCTCGTTGCCAAGAGACTTCCTAGCAAAACTGCAGAATGTAATGCAGTAGTATCTGTAATTTCAGGAAAAAAAAAAAAAAAAGAAAAAGAAAGAAAAGATACAAATAATTAACGACGAATTTTCATAATTTTTCATGAATTCTGGATGGAATTAATGATCCTCATTGAAACTTGTATGATTTGACATTAATATAATATTTTGTATATAATACCTGTATCAGGATGAATAACGTTAATAAAAACTTTTGCAGATACAAGGATATCGATGATGCAGTTATATTTGGAAATCTCGTTCGAATCTTCTTTCTCAACTTTGGACCCTGCTAAAAGTAACGGCGTGATCCCACGATCGTCTCTAGCGTTCACGTCTGCCCCAGCGTTTACCAAGAGCTTCACCACCTCTGGATGATTGTTCTTCACCGCTTGGTGCATCGCCGTTCTTCCCCAACATTTTGGCGTAGGCAGCTAAAAAAACAGCAATTCGATTGTCGCTTTAGGTGGCAATAAATTCATTAGGATAAATATCGCGAGATCGAATAAATTTTAACCGATATCACGTTCACGCACTAACGTTTCGACCAATGTTGAGCGAACTCGAAGGGATTTTCTTGTAACAAGCGTCTATCCCGACCTTGTTTTCCGTGTAAGCCCCGTGCTCCAACAGCCAATTCACCACCTCGTAATTTCCACGATGCGCCGCATGAAACAGGGCGCATCTTCCAATCTTGTCCGTGGCGTTGATATCGGCCCCATTTTTGTAGAATAAATCCAACAGCTCGATCTCACCCTGCCAAGCCGCCAATTGAACGGCAGTCACGTAAAACGCGCCCACAGGTTTCAAGAATTTTTTATCGAATTTCTCGGTAGAGATCCGTATTGCCGTTTCCACGTCGCCATTTTCGATCGATGCGATCAATCTCAACTGATCGTCATCGCCAGCACTCATCTTCGCTTATTATTGTATTCCAGATGCACTCTTTCCAACTCGCGCATCACCGGTTTAACGAGCTCCTTTTGTACCGACGCGTTATCGACAACGGTTAGATATTACACAATCACAGGATGTGGTCAATCACAAATCTACTCTCTGTATACTATTTTCGCTCCTAATGAAATATTATAAACCTCATTATAAATCGACGCGACACGAATCGAGGAGATAACACGAAAGATATCCTAATTTTAGTTTCCTGTTGTATCGACCTTAACCTATAAATTGATAAATTACTTCACGCACAAAAAAAGAGAAAAAAAAGAAAAAGAAATGATCATTTCTCAAAATTTCTTATCCATCTTATCCATCCACGTATCCAACTATTCTCTTCACTTTTCCCATCTTTTCTTTTTTCTCCTCCAAAGCTATCTCCAATCTCACCCCAACCTCGAGTTCTCAACCGCATACGTATATAACCGGTACAGCTCCAATGCCCGTTCGGTTGCATTCCAAGTGCAGCAGCTACATCCGCCCCGTTATTTGCGTTATACGCGCGAGTATAATCGTCTCTGCCCGCGTTGAATACTCATGAACAGCCCTGTTACTTGGGTATGCGCTTTCGATAACGAATCTGTCAACAATGGATAACGGGATCGGTTCGAGCCGATTCATTGGTCGAAGAAGTCGGACCTCTCGACTCCTCCTCGGGACCGTTACGAGTATAATATACTTGGCTGGACACGCACACAATCATCGTAAGACACTTTCGAATCTCGCCGCAAGTTCAGGTGCTCCGACACACATCTACGCGCGTGTTCCATGCGCGTATAGATGCATGGAGGACGAGCACGTGCGCGCGCGCGCGCGTGCACACACACACACACACGTTCGAGATACCAGTTTTCGTAGCCGGGGCGACCTTAACACGGGTTTCTCGCACGCGCGCACACACACGCGAGGCCGGCACGTTTAACACACGTTCGCGCGCTCAATCAACTAGAGAGAATCGCGTTACCTTGCAGAACGCGGGCCCAGTACGCGCTTGACCACGCTGTCGAGAGGAGGCTGTTCGACGTACCAGTTCCACGGAGAAGATCTCGATATGCCCAATTGTCCGAAGTGCGACAAACCGGTCTATTTCGGTGAGTGAAGAGAGAACGGCGTTGAACCCGTTGGAAAAGTAAAAATTTCGAATAAAGTTACTTAAATCAAAACGCCTGCTCGTAACGTTTAGTTCGTTATATACGTTGATTATACGCTTTGGTATTATCAATTGTTTACGATTGTTATTATTACGTCTTCAATAATCAATTATCGAAGTAACTTTATTCGTAAAGTTCAACTATTAAATTTTAAACGGTGGAGAGAGATCGTTCGAATCCCTTTCGGTAACGATAGGAACATGTATTCGAGAGATTCCTTTAAAACGCGTGAAACGTATTGCGAAGGAAATAAAAATTGAGATGACAATGATAAACGTTACTTTATTTGTGTAATTGGTGGCGTAGAGTGAGAATCTAATTTTAATTTTGTTATAATTTTATTACTGGAGTATAGGTATATCAAATCTTCTTACGTTGAAATATCTTATCTAGGATGTTTTTTTTATTTTTTTTTTCAAGATATATATTTCACATGTACGTTTTTTTTATCTTTCAAGCAAAGTTACGAAGTTTCACATATATATATATTATTATCCGGCAAAAATGGATAAAGAAAATGATAAAACTGATTTCAGATTTTAAGAGATATTGGATATCTGGAAATGCTAGATTATTACATTTTAATTAAGAAGATTAATGGAATCCTGTTAAAGTATCACAAAGTAAAAAATTCGTTTGTTGGAATATTTCCTCTCCCCCTTTTTTTTTTGTTTTCATTCCGATATTGACAACACTGCAGCAATTTTTTCTTATTGGATCTAATAACGTTCTCTGTGTTATTAATTCAAATTTTATGATCATATCGCGACAATTGGATCTCTCGTTCTTAGATATCGTTACGAGTGAAATAAAAGAAGTAACGAATTAACGCGAAATATTAAAAAAAAAAAAAAGAAGTATATTATCGAGATGCTAAAAATATATTACATAATGTACTATCATTTCAAATTACATTTTTATGTTCTGTTTCCAAGCGTCCACTAAAATTATCGCCATATATGAATCATAAGTAATATGATCATAAAGTTTGAACTAATAGCGGGGAATGTTATTAGTTACACAGTCGAATTGGAAAAAAATTGTTACGATTCAAAGAAAAAAATTTTTCGCCGTATGTAATCACTTCACTGTCACTTTGAAAATTAGACTCGGCCATTCGTTACATACATTCCATATTATATTATTCATTACCGAAAAAAAAAAAAAAAAAAAAAAAAGAAAGGAAAAAAATTTATTTCGAAAAAATATCACTTGTTTCCATTTGTTAATTTTACCTTTGATCGCATTTAATTACCACATAAATCCAAATATTTTTCGATCAGAATTAACTTTATCACGTTTCACGGTTCGTGAAACGAAGTTGGAATTCCCACGGCATTGATTGGATATATAGTTCATAGATATATTATACTCGCTTAATATTCCGCTATTTTGCACTTTACTTTTTCCGTGGGATGACTACGTTTACGAGGAAACATATCCACTAATCGATAATAATAAACATTAGCCTGAGATCTCTGGCACATCCATCCCCTTCCTCTCCTTCATCCTCGTGAAATTGTACCTTGATATTCGCGCATCCTGCTGCGGAAAATTCGCGTCACGATTCATTCGATGATTCGCGTGAAAATGACGACACCACATGATGTCATTTCGTTCCTCGTGGTCCACCTTGACAAACATTACGTCAACCTCGTCCTCACAATCTCGTAGTAGGAACACAGAGATCGTAACACGAGACACTAGGAAGGAAATTTTATGCAATGAGTATCGTATCGAGTGTACGATCGAGCCGTATATTTATATACGCGCTGTCGATTGAAATCGTCGATGTATCGAGGCAGTGGAATCAGTTTGGGAATTGGTTTCTTCCGATAAATAGGATTAATTTTTAATTTTCGCAGAGGATCGTTGGAACGTTGTTGTGTTTAGGGATCAGTTTAGGCAATGTCGATTTCGATATTATGTATCGTATACTCTTGATGATACGATAATGTTGACGACTATCAAGAAAAGGTATTTTATCGTGTTTATTGCCGTTGAAACGTTGAGTTGAAAATTGTGGAACGTTTTCGAAAGTAACGATAATGTTTCACCGTTTATTATACGGTATCTCTAAAATTACCATGGAACGAATTATGCAGTTATTATTGCCAAGGCGATTTTGGGTCGTGAATATCGTGTTAAGCGTTTTGTTATCATCGAGACTCGTTAAACGATTCTTATTTTTACGACAGAATATTCAACGATTTTACGACGATCCTTTACTTTTGTCTTTTAATTTTTTCTTAAATTCTGATTATTGACCGTTGTACGGTGAAATTAGAGATATTAGAATTAGACACTATTCACATATTTTCACGGGTCTTAAATTGTTTTTAAAAACTTCAAATTAATTTTTAAATTACGTTAATCAAGATTGAGAATTTTGTAATCTATGTTACGGATAATATATTATAAAAAGAATTTTATATTATGATGTGTAACTATCTTGCAGATATAGATAAAAAGCAAGTGAATAAATTGTGTGCTTTTTGCAAATATCAGCAACAGCTTCAAATTTTATTTAAAAATTATCAAATTCAACAACTAAAAGATACCCTTACACATTCTAAGCAAATGTATAAGGGTATTTCAATACATTCAAAATATGGAAAATCTTTGAAGGATCAGATAGAAGCCAAATCAAATGTTGATAAATATTTCGAGTCCCCCATTTCACTCTGTTTCCATCTACGCAAATTTAAAATTGCCTACATGCAAAATGTTTATGCATTCTTACGCACACGACTGAACCTAACATTTAATTTTTTTCCTTCTTTATAAACTTCTCTCGAAGAAATACAACCTCGAGGCACCTCCGATACTCCCTCCTCTTATCGCCGCCGTTTTTTTCGCGAGGGATCCCGGTGAGCCGTGGCGATAACCTTATCATCGGCCAATCACCGGCTCGCGCTTCCCCTCGCTCGGCCAGATAAACGCGCGCCGGATAGTTCTCGTTCCCTTCGGGCGGCCGATGATGCTCCATGCTCGCCCAGAGCCATCCCATTCAGGGAGGTTCGCTTTTAATTGCGCGCTTCCTCTTTCGAGCGGCCTTTTAGACGGCCCGTTAAAGCACTATTAGCGCTGAAAGAGGATTTTTCTGAATACGCGAGACCCGGTCGGCGGCGATATGCCGCGCATACGATGGGGGCTTTCAGAGATCGGGCCAAGTAGGTGCGCGAGAAATGGATGCAACCGGGCGAATTAGAGGGACGACACGCGGAAAAGAAGGAAAAGAAGGTATTGTACGCGTTTCGAAAGGGGGATGGAGGGGAGAGAGTGGGTCATTGGCCTCTGACCGGGCCCCCTTCGAGGAGAGACCGCTCTTCCCTTCAATTAATTGATTCGGGGGATCGGCTTCAAGTTTTCCTCGATTTTCAGAAATTTTTAGACTTCAGGGATGAATTCAGGTATTGAGATTAAGCGGGTGATTAAGCGTTTGTAGTAGAAATTTTGTTATGAAATTTATAATAGATTTTTTTTTTTTTTTTGTCTCTTGCATAGCAAATCTATTAGGTTTTCTTGGATTTAAACGGGAAAGCGTAATAATTTCAATTATTTATCGATGTTGTTATTCGCCATATTTTGTTTCGTCGACTCGATTATCTTTACACCGACGCAGTTTGTTAATTATTAAAAAAAGCAGTAGTCTGTGATCTACACTCGTGTCATCGAGAAACGAATCCAATAAATCGAAGATTAAATTGGCGACCTCGATCTTACGCAACAGACGTGAAACGGTATTCATATTACATTACTTTTAAATCGCGAGCGAACCAAGTTACGTTTTTCATTTCGTTTCATCGTTGGAAGAAAATTCCAATCTTTGAAATAGTCGATCTTTGAATTCAATTATGATCATCGCCGCGACGAGATGTGCAAAGTAACTCTCGAAGAAGGCCCCGATCTCCTCTTCTTGCTTCGACTTCGAGGTCCCCGCGTGGGTGGCTAAGGCGAATTCGTGGCGGAGCCACTCCACAGGAGCTTTTCGACTTCTGTTTTCTTTGTTTGCGGGCATTCTACGCCACCACGCAAAGGATAGAAGACTTTTTTTTCAAAAGACTCCTCTTTGAGAGAGAGAGAGAGAGAGAGAGAGAGATACGCTTTCAAACAAATTAGGTTCAAACGATTTCGTGGCAATTCGATGAATTTTTCTTTTTTTTTTTTTACGAATATTTAAAGTTGGGAAAGTACGAGGAGGTGAGCAGAGCGACCCTTTCCACGCGACTGATTTCGGTTCAATTGAATGAAACTGCTCGACAAAGACAAAGAAAGATTTCTCGAATTCCTGTCACGATCTCACGATTCGTTAGTTAGTAGAGAAAGCGAGCAAAGAAGTATTCCGCGAAATATCAAGGATTCTACGAAATGTGATACGTAGAGTAAGTATTCTTTCTGTTCGGTAATGGCGGACGAATTGGGGAATGAATGCCGTCACTGTCACTGTTTTCGAGTTTCAAAGCCTTCTTGTCTTCTCTACACGACTACCCTACTGAGGTATTTAGACCTTGCCTTCAACTTCTCCAATATGATATAATATAATATAATACGAAGAAGAAGAAGAAGAAGGAGAAAAAAGTGTTACTCATATCTCGAGCAAAAGAGAGTTTAATCCCTAAACAACGGAACAATTCCCAAAATTTCTACTAGAATCCACAGATCAGAATAATTAACCCATCTCTCGATCATCGATTTCTTTCTAAAAAAATACGCAATAAAATACCCAAAATAACTATTCCATCTTTCGGATACGCCTCTCGCATAAAGATCCCTCGTTAATCCATCGCGTGCGAGAGAAGGCGGCGTAAAGAGGGTTCGTAGACAGGCCTCCTCTGTAACGAGCTGGGCAAAAAGTTTCTTGGCTGTATATATATATACACACACACACACATATATGTATATATATATATATATACCATCGCGGATCCGCGACGGACGAGGATTGCAGGAGGGAGGAGGGGGGAGAAGTGAAACCGAGTCACGTCGTTGCATCGAGAGCAACAACAATAAAGTGTCCAGCGGCGAGGAGAGAGCGACGACAAGAGTGTAAGGGGGGGTGTATCGGGTAATAATAAGAAGAACAGAGAGGAAACAGGTTTGGAGAAGAATAGGCAGGTCGTTGCGGCGAAACGAAACGAAAGGGGTGAGACGGGTTAACAGGGGCGGAGGGGGAGCAGGAAAAGAAGGGAATAGCCACGCTCCTCTTCCCTTCAACCCCCTCCCCCCGTTTACGACGTCGCACTAGATGGGGGAGGCAGAAGGAAGCGCGAGGAGAACTTTTTTTCCAGAGCCTTTCCTGGCCTCCGTTGGACGAGAGAGAGAGAGAGAGAGAGAGAGAGAGACAGATAGGGGGAGGGGGGTACGTCAGATCGGCAGTTTGAAAGAGTCGGCAAGAAAAGTGAGTAGCAGGAAAGGGGGGCTGGAGGGGAGGGCCGCGGTGGAGAATGGTCTAGCGAGGAAATAAAGAGAAAGAAGAAAAGGGGGAGGGGGAGAAAGCAGGGAAAGACAGCGGGGGGATGATGTTCCAAGCCTATGCAATCAGCAGCCGCCGATTGTTTGGCGCCCGGGCGCAACGATCCGTGCACACCACTGTCTGCCTTTTCGCGCTGCCACTGCACACCACCAATGCTTGACGATTATGCACTCGCTTCTCCGCCGCCAGATAATTAGGAGTTAATTAACTAATGGCCCTTTATGCGTACCCTTCTTGCTCCACGGCCTCTCTTTCCTTCACCATTCTGCCACCGCGCCGCTGCCCATCTCTCTCTCTCTCTCTCTCTCTTTCTCTCCTTTCTTCTCCACCTTCTTCCACGAGTTTCCCTCTCGCTCGCTCCTCGCGCAAGCAAGCGCTCCTCTTCTTTCTCCCTATCGCGGTCTTTTCGAACATCCCCCTTGCCCTTCTCCTCGACCACCGGTTGGTTCCCGACGTCGACCCCTTTAGAGACTCGTCCCCGTGTCTCTCTCTCTCTCTCTCCGCTCCTCGTCATTTTCCAATTCCCCTCGCTGGCACCAGCGTCCTTTGTGCCCCTCCTTAGACACGGAGGAACGTTTGAATGCCAACCACCGGGCCGCCACCGGTCCGTGGCTGTTTTTTCTTTTTCTTTTTTTCTCTTTGTCTTCCCCGCGAGGTTTGATATGTCGTAATGGCATGACGCATCGCGACGCATCCAAGGAAAAGAAGAAGAAGGAGGAAAAAGAAAAAAAAAAAAAAGGGCCACACTCCTCTGATTTCGCGGCCTTTTGTCGAACCTACGCAATACGTAATCCACTGCTCTCGCTCTCTCGAAAAAATACTTCGCGAAACGTTTCGAGGATCCGAGGATCGTGTACGCGGATATGCACGAGATCGCGAACAGAAGCGATTGGGAGGATTGAAAGGAAAATCGCGCCACTCGAATACTTTCAACCCCTTTCCCTCCCCCTCCTGATCGCGTTTCTCGATTAATCAAGCGCGATGGTGACGCGCGACAAAAGAGGACGCTTGTCTGCGTCGTTGCGTCAGCTTCTTTCTCTCCAGGAATCCTGGAATCATGAGTTACTGGCGTTGGAAATGGCTCGCACCGGGGAATTCGGCGACAATGCGGCGGCCGCGTGCGATATTTTGTAAAAAAAAAAAAGAAAAAAAAAAAGGAAGGAAAAGGAAAGGAAAAAGGCGGGACGACGTTGGCGCGCTTTGCAAGGGGGAAAGATGGCCCACAGGGGCGCCTCGGGTTCGCGCCTTCCGTGAATGAGCCTCGCGTTCGATCGCCTCCGCCGGGAATCCGCCATTCAATTTTATAATTACGAAATTGCTAATGGAGCGGCGACGCTCCTCGCCACTCCTGGTCCCGCCTGGGGACGCTTCCGCATTTTCTTTCGGCAACAGAGAACGCGCGAGCGGATTTTCGAGCGGTATCCCGAGCGTGTGTCTTATTGTTCTTCGAGGTGACAGTGGATGGGAGGTTGTGGATTTCGATTAAATAATTTCCAGCGTCTTCTTATTCTTTTTTCTTTTTTTTTATTATTAATTCTTGAAGCTTTCGAATTTCTTTTTCATCTTTGTAATAATTAGCTTTCTCTTCTATCAAGTTTCGTTTTAGTTTACTTCGATATTTATCAAATAATAGCAAGTATTGTGCTTATAAAAATTGTTTTGAATTCGTAATATTTGATAGATAGATTATATTATATTGTTCATTGAACAATTTAATGATAATTTGAAGTGTTATTTTACGATCTCTTTTCTGGCGTTTTCGAAATCCTTGTTATCAAATTCTTGGAAATATTCTGCTAATTGCGCTATAAAAAGGAAAAAAGATTTTAAATATACGCGAGAAGAATACGTGGATGTGAATAAATAATTTAATTAATAAAACATCAATATATAGAACGACGGAATTTCTTGGTTATCTAATAACGAATTAACCTTTGTGGTTTCGAATTGCGCAGTAAAGAGCAAAGTATAGGTGCATCGCGATAAGCGATAATTCCGCGACACGTATACACAGCGCGATAATCGTTATCCGATCGCGAAACTTATTATTACGTAATCCGTCGTTTCGTTTGCCAACGGAACACCGCCGGTTTATACGAAGTCAAGAGGGTTGATTGAACTTATTTCAGGCTTCTTTATCGGGAACGCAGCCGTATATGGCTTTAAGTGGATTGAGGCCACTCGAATAAGCCTGATCGAACGTAATAATTTCCCCGTTTCCATTTCACCCACTCGGTGAATCACTCGGTTCGTAGACACTGTGACATCGAAAGCGGACAATCGACTTACATCGACACGAAACGTGAATAAGTGATTAATATTTTCGCTCGAATCCGTTCAATGATTTTTGTTTTTTTTTTTTTTGCCCATTTACGTTACAGCCGAAAGGAAAACATCGTTGGGCAAGGATTGGCATGGATCGTGTTTACGTTGCGAAAAATGTAACAAAACCTTGACACCAGGCAGCCATTCGGAACACGAAGGAAAACCTTATTGCAATCATCCGTGCTACGCTGCTCTGTTCGGGCCAGGAGGTGAGTTGTAAATGAAGATTTCGAGAGAACGTTTTCGTTTAAGTATCGATAACCTTTTACTTGTGTTTATTTATTATTCTTAAATTTATTATTCTTATTTCTAAACCTTTGAATTTCGTCGAACTCTGTTTTGTTTTGAACGTTTCTATTTGTATTGTAGAGTATTGTATCTCTCGTTATACAGAGATATAAATATTTCATTCAAATATTGATAAATATTCCATTTCAAATATTTCCTTGGCTTTCTTTTTATATTTTATATTTTATTATATTTATATTGTATATTTTATATATTTATATTGTTTGGATTTTAAATTATTTTTTAGTGATGATTCTTCAGATTACCTGAAAATTCGTATTTAATTAATATTTAAATGAAATAAAAGTGATTAAAAATTTAAAGGTTAATGTATAATATTTGAAATGGAATTTTCTAATTATGAAAGTTTTATATTACTGTAATTAAAAAAATTTAATGATCGTTAATGAGGAATTTTTTAAATTCTTTTCTTCCTTCTCGCAATCTCGATAGAGTCTAGGTAAACTAAAACATTTATTTTTACGCATTGCAGGTTTCGGCAGAGGCGGTGCAGAGAGTTACGTTTACAAGAAGTGAAAAATCTAAAGAATTTACGGCAATATAATACTTATTTCTAATCGAATCGCGTTACCTGTACCGTAGCAATTAAATTTAATTAACATTAGATAACTAGATTGTCTGAGCGTGAAGTACAATATTTTTGTTTGAATTAAGATAATTTTTTATAAAATCACGCATAATGTATTTCTATATTAGATATAAATTTGAATAAAAATTTAATGTCAGTTTGAAAATAAATTGTTTTTGCAACGATGGATAATGGAGAAATCTATATCAAGTTGTGTTCGGTTTGTTACCTTATGCAACAGATGCATTATTGAATGCATGCGACATCTTATGGAACTTTGTGTAAGTTCTGTAATATCGAGTTTGAAAAAATCAGGGTGTTTTTTACGCCCTCTATGATTTCTCAATTTTTCATATAATTTACTTTTTGCATGAATTTTTTATGTTTTTAATGTTGTTAACAATAACTTTACTTCTTCTCGATAAATGAAAAGATTTTTATGCTACGTGCTATTTTAATTTTTTTTAATATTTTTGTATCACTTTTTAACTGATATTATATTATAAAGCTTTACTTCCAATCATTATATTATGCAAGACGTTCATATATTTGTGGAATATCTTTGGAAAACCAATTCAAACTTCAATTATTTATAAGTCAATAATGAATCTTAATCAACATTTTTACATATATCAACTTTTATATTTATTTAATTTCTGGAATCGATTAGATACCATAAAGATATCATAAATATATTAACATTCTGTATATAAATACATTTAATTATCAAATTATAATTATTTTATTTTATGAATTGTAAAATAACAAAAATAGCAAATATCTTTTAGCACAAGATGATGATAGGAAATAAGATGAAACGAACTTCATATAAACCTCATATTTATTTAAAAAGGATGTACAGAGTTTTGTTTGCAAGTATCAACAGCGAGACTCGGCAAGAGCGGCGCACGAAATAAGAATTATAATATCACACGGGACGAAATGACAGCGAAATGAAGGAGGGGAAAAAAAAAAAAAAAAAAAAATAAAATAAAATAAAATAGAATGATAAAAGAAAAAAGAACTGTTTATTGTATTCGAATAAAAAAATTCACGGAGGGCGCAGCATTCAAACTGAATTCTCGATTTCACAAATATTTTGCTACTGAGGATATATCCACTCCGTTTGAATATTGCGCGGGAAAATGATTCCTCTCGTGATGCATCGGTTTTTCTTTTAGTTTCTCTTCTATTTACGATTCGACGTTAACATATCGTGTGCTTTCCTCTCTTTAAAACTTTTTTTTTTTTTTTTTTTTTTTTTTTTTTNTTTTTTTTTTTTTTTTTTTTCTTTATTTCGTTTCCTAAAACACTTCCATTTTATGGAAGTTCGAAACGTTACCGCGATATTGCTCTCTTCCTTTCTCTCTCTCTCTCATTCAACGGAATTTCTTTGGCAAAACTTATTACACATAGGTCGTCGTTATTATTTAATAAATAATAAAGGCATTAAATAATCGTGTAATAATAATGATGATAATAGTATAATAATAATTAGAATAATAATAATAATAATAATATTAATAATAAATCATGAGAATAATGGGAAAAATAAGATAGCGATAATAATAGAATAGAATAAAAAATAATAATAATAAAATGAAGAGTTCATAATCATCATCGTTACAATAATAATAATAATAGAATAACAAATGTGAAGTGTACGCAATTAGTCAATTACAATCCCGACAAATTATAAAAATCGCAATGAAAGTCAGATCGATGTGTATGTATGTGTACCGAAGGTATCCCCTTTAAAAAAAAAAAAAAAGAAAAAAAAAAAAGAAAAAATAAGACGTTAGACATGAAACGAAAGAAGATTGATTTCCATCGGTTGGCAGGTATATCGCGAGTGTAAAACAGTGTTAATACTCGAATTTGTTGCAGCCTCGAAATACTAAACATGATCGCAATATCTCTTTCTTTCTCTCTTTCTCTCTCTCACTCTCTGTATCTTCCTTTTCTATACCGTTTTCCATGCCCCAGATTCTTTCTGCACACAATTTTATTACGACACGTAACGCTACGATACGACAATTTATAAATAGCAATTATTCAGCAATGAGAGATCACGGCTACGAATCCTTCGTCCTTGCGACAAACACGGCGGAAACGTAATCGCGTTGGCGGGCTGAACACGTAAAGAACGCAACTAACAGGAAGGGGTGTAGTATCGGTTTTGAAATCATGGTGACATATTGTCGAACGATCGGTGGAATAGAGAGACCGAGTCGTACGAAGAGATAATTGTACGAATAAGTTGTCCGTTTGACGCTCGGATCGATAAACGATCTGACAATCGGTTGCGAGCACGCTTAGGATCGACGATGTCGGATCGTTTCGCTACGATTCCGTGAACCGTGTCCAACGATACCACGCGTAATGTAAAGGTAATGATGGAAAGGTGAAAGATCGTACGAGTCGTTTGCTAAAACGTTCGAATAAATATATTACGATAAAATGTATTTTTAAAAATATATTTTTTTCTTTAATTTTATTGTAATATACGGATATATATTATATATAATATAGAGATATATCACAATAAAATTAAAAAGATATGTTTTAAAAAAATGAATAATAAATATATAACAAGATAATTCAAAATTATCGAACTATTATCGTTCGCGCGAGACACGCTTGAGAAAATATAATTTGTTAATTATGAGATAACTGTGATGCGAGCGAAATTGTGCTTGGAAATCCATTTCATGGTAGATTTCTCAAGCGAGACGCGATGATACGTTGATAAACGTCTCACGAGACTGATAACTTATAAAAATAATTAAAATTATTTTGTTATGTTCATTGCACTATTTGCATTTCTATTAAATAGAAAGGACAACGTATAATTATCTTCGTAGCGAGATAAAAGTAGCTCGTATAATTGAGAAATTAAAAGAAGAAAATATAGAGTAACAAATAAATACGTTCGAATTATACCGCGCATGTACGCGCATGTACGCGCATGTACGTACGTTTCTAGACGCAACGCGCATGCCCGGCGCATATCGTATGCGCGATCGAAAGGCGCTGGACACGCGCGCGTAAATTTCCTTATTAAGGTTACAAATTAACATTTTTGCCCGTTAATCATAAAGAAATTGCAAGCACGTAACTTCTCATTAAAGTTGCCGTGGCCAGACGTTAATTACGGTTCCGCGATAGTTTTTTTTCTCTTCTCTTTTCGAAACGTTACGCTCGACGCGGTGCCGGAAGCTAGTTGATTTCCGTGGTTGTGTGATGTGCGAGTGTAGTGAAGGCGTTGGACGGAACGCGGGAATAATCACGATCAACCGGCCATCAAGGAAGTGTCCGTTGTTTTGTTTAGAAAAAAATCAAACCATGGAATGAAATTCGTTACATGCCAGCGAATATCCACGGACGATTTGTGATCGACGAAGGATGGCAGTTTCGATCGAAGGTAACGTATCTTTTTCATTGCATACACGATGGCGTTACCTTCGGCGAAAGAATCGACCGCGATGACGTAGAGCCCGCGTTTCACGACTTCGTTTCGCCTTTCACGCTTTCCCGATTTCTCGATTTGCATTCCCTCATTGTTTTGTACATTTACGTCGATCCTCGTACGTCGCTCGCAAACACGCGCATCCGTTTACATCTAAAAATCGCTTTCGAACCGCCATAAAACTCTGCTTTAGCCGTAGCTACGCGACGCACGCAATTCTCATTTCGGCAATCCGTCTGTGGTCTTTGGTTTCTACAAAAAATATATATAATATCCTTAACAGTAATGATCGTTACGTCGATTCCTGATTTAAAAATCTCAATAAACTTATCCATTATATCTACTATATTACTTATACCGTTTTGTGGGTAATGAGGGGAAGGGAGCGGAGAGGGGAGGGGGGAAGAGGGCGGGGAGCAGGTAAGGATAGGTCGTCGTGCTTATTAGAAAGAAAGAACGTGCCGTGTTGGGCAGTTGACTCTGTTTTACACGGATAATATTATGTATATTTTATATATATAATTTTTTTTTTTTTCCTTCACTTTATATATATGTACACGTTCTAACGCCGTCGGTAACAAATGTGCCCAACTACATTCGCGTCACAAAGATCGTTAACAATGGGAGACGAGAGGAAAATTGTCGGGAATGCACGGGCACATTTGGAGAGACGACCGATCGCGGGAATTGTGTAGAAATTATACTAACTGAGGATCGTTAAATTAAACTACCTATGATTATGCGCACTCTACGTGAGTAGCGACACTGTCGGTAACGCATACGGGCCAACCTGTAATCCCGACCACGCAATTAGACAGAATTGTCCTTAAGTGTCGCTGGACCAGACACTCGTCGTCGAGTCGTTTTGCCGTTTTCCCATTCAATAATTATTCGTAAATAAGATCGTTGACATCGGTCAAGCTACAAGTTTTCTATTTTCCCGTGACACGGGTTATCTTTCGTTAAAAACGATTTCTAACCTCAATTATCACGGACAATCATCTGTCAATTTGCAACAGCGTTCGATGTTCGATCGTTTCGTTCCATTGAGCGCTGTAGTGTGTCGTGAACGGCTATGGATGACTCCGATGGATTCGATCATCGTCATTAAAACGTTGTTAAGAAAATTTCTCAAAAAAAAGTCTCTATCTCTCTCGCGATTCACGCGCTGATCGACACGAAATCCCCAAACGCGACACGCGATTCAATCGTGATTCAATGTTGCATTGACGTGAACGTGTATCTGGTCATAATTCGCCATAATTCTTTTCCTTCTCTCTCTCTCTCTTTCTCTCCCCGTTCTTCTTCCTGTTTTCTTAACGGGAATTCGTCGTGGTTATCCGTGTTACGATCTTTTATTCGATGATAACGGTTCGTGACTGTTCGTTCCCGAACCGTTTAATAAAAGAGATCATCATTGCTTAATTTCAGCATGGTTCCTCGTGATATGGCGTCCGAACTCGTTGGTCGCTGTTCCCACTCCAGAAAGACCCTCTGCCCGGAATTGGTCTCCTGTGCCATCGATTAATCAGGCCAGATAAAGGTCCGTTGGCGTGGAAGTATGATCCGGCTTGGTGCATGCACTTCCGGTTGGCGAAGCGGCACTCGCACCGCTGCTCGCTCTGGTAGCAGCCAAAGGCGAGCGACTAGCCACGTCCGTGCTGTTCTCTGGTCCTGTGTTATTACATCCGCCGCCCTGCTGCGAATTGGTGTGGGAAGACGCCAGCGTGTCCCCGTTACAGTAGTAATACGTGGAGTCTGCAAAGTAAGAGTAGCATTTATTTTACAATATATCGATGCCATCTAGCACGGTGGATTTTTAATTTTCCATGCTATATTTCATGTATTTTTCTTTCAACCAAAATTAATTCCCTCGACGCCACTTTTTATAATTACGATTATAATAAATATCTGTCAGAGTATCATCGTATTACGTATATACAAATAATCGTAAATAAGAATACTTTCGTATTATTATTTAATGGCCTCGAGTGGTTAATTTATTTTGGTTAAAGAATTGGGAGCCTAAAATATGACTGCGCATTGATGTAGTGTAGTATCGAAGCGCGATTCCCGTTCTTTTTCGATCGGGATAACCATTTCTTGCGATTACGTCATGACCGCGACGAAGTTGCAAAATACAACGTTTCTAAAAAGGGGAAAAGTCGAACTGCGAAATTTCGAATTCAGAATGTCGAGTGTAAATACGTATTACGTCATGCGTACAAAAAAAAACGAGCAAGGAACGTATCGCACGTTCGATAAAAAAATTATTTATTATTCCGTCTATTCTTATACACCGAATATGCATAGCCAATTTGCGAGCATTTCACTTCGTAGGTATATTATATATCGCGATCTACGTATGATGTACCAGCAATCGTCCGTTATGAAAGGCTACTTTGATTCCGCGAGCTTTTTGTAGCCTGATCTTATCTGCGATATCTTGGAACGTAATAAAGTAACGGTGGGTTTCTTCAGTTTTAGAAAGTTGGATCCGATTGGTGCCAGAAATGTGTTCCTTCCTATACGTGAACGCAAAATATGTAGGTAGGGACGGTGAGCATAGTTATGCGAGTCCGTTTCATTCGATCGTATTCAGCCTATCAATGAATTAATACTTGACATTTCGCTGACCCCTAATCTAATCGGTACTCATACTCACTGTTTACTTACTGAGCAACCCGCTTGTCGCTGCCCCATAACCGTAGCCGCTGTACGGTGCGCTCGAGTATTGAGAGTATGCCGCGCTGTATGCATAATCACCACCACCTAAACAAAATACACGAATACGCTCATGTTAGCCATTAACTTTGAAAACTGATATCGATAAGGGGACGGAAATTCATTATTCCCGTACTCTAATCGTACGATAAGTGATCTACATTCTCGATCCCAATTCCATTTGCATTTCCTTCACGAGTAACTCTCGTGAACTAAAAAGTAACCCAAGGAGCAAGTTAGCGCGCGTTGGCAACCACCGTTGCCATTTATCCGCACGGTAGTCTAGTTTCTAACCGCGGGAGTTGGTAAGTCAGGGCACTGTAAGGGCGAGCCCTAACTTACCTTCCGTTATTTTTTTTCTTTTTTTTTGATCGTCGGTAACGAGAATGAGGGCGGGACGAGGCTGGTCTGTGTTCAGTACTCACCGGTGGCGTAGTGTCCGAAACTGGGAAGCATCGTGGAGTACGGTGGTATCGCAGATGCTACCTGGGGTTGAGAAACTGGCGGCTGCAAGACCGTCAGTCCGGGGTCCCCTCCGGGGGTGTTGGGGGCCGTGGGGGTGGCGTTTGTCTCGTTCTGCAACGAAATCGGGGGACTCTGCTCCCCCCCACCGGCCCCCACCCCCACATACGACACTGCGACGGTACTGCTCTCTGCTATGGCCATGCACAACACAACACGACATTCGAGTCAAGCACTAGCTAACGATCAGCGCCTTAACGTCTAAAGCTTAATTAAATTGTCTCTGAATGAAGTAATGGGGGGAGAGGGGGGCGAGGGTATTACGGTATAAGGACGATGTGTGATCATTAGGACGACACACGACGAGATGAATGAATCGTAATGTGGAAATTTTTTTATTCGATAAAAAACAAAAAAACGAACGTTCGAAGCATGAAACACTTTCTTGTAGAGAGTCTCCCCCCGCGTAATTGTCTACACGCGATTTCTTGACAAGGGAAAATGGGTACAATTACATTCTGCGTACGTTGTGGATCTTCCTTCGACTTTCTCGAGACCGTTTCTCGTAAGGAAACGTGTCCGGTTTACGGAATAGGATACGTGAAAAATATTTAACGATTTATATTGAACGACGAGTGGATAGGTGGGATAATTAGGATAATTAGGATCGAATCGAATATCTTTTCAAATTATCGTATCGTGTGAATGATTTTGTCAGAAAAAAAAAAAAATGAAAAAAAAAAGATGTTCGAGAGACAAGATGTATTTTAAACTTTACGAGATGATTCGAGTCGCACATACATGGATGGCGCACAAGGTGTAGACCCCGTAAGAAAACTAAAGAGAGGTGGCGAACTCACCGGTGGTGTGGTAAGGAGACATGTTAGCCCCGTCCAATGTTTGGCTCAATTTTAGTTCTTGCATCGTCAGTGGCGCGAGCGGCGTCAAAGTACCACCTGCTATTAAGGGATCCCCATTTTTCCGTTATTTGCGTCATTTTCGTATCGTTGGCTGGCGATCAAGGCGGAACGTCGAATCGTTCGCGTGATTTGCTCGCCCGAATTTTACTTGCCGGTCGGTGTTGTACGTATTCCGGTTTATATAAACTTCATCGGAATCGTCGAGACGAGACACGGGACGATTTAAAAACCGTCGTTGTCACGCCCTCCAAACACGCTTTCGAACGGTTGGTTGGAAGGAGTGAGAGAAAAAGACAGAGGTGGACAGAGATAGAAAGAGAGCATCGTTCCCTCGCGAGCCCGAGATCAAGGATCTCGGTGCACCATCGATATACCGGCTCGTACATATTAACGGGCGAGAGAGTCAGCAAGCCGTGGAATCGACTTGGCCCGGCCGCGTCGTCCTTCAAAAATTCTTCGATCTCGCCACCGAAGATCCTCGATTGAATTTCATGAGATGAACCGGCCGTTACACGGCTCGCTTCGCCCATTCCGAAAAGCACCGACCGAAAGAGTTCCGCGGCGTGACCGAGTTCGCAACACGTGCCCAGAGAAAGTTCGTTTCGTCCGTGTATATATATATATATATATATATATATATATATATACATGTGTATACACGTGTCCGCCCGTCTCGTGTATACACACACACATACACACGTGGTTGCTTTTCAATAGCGCGTTTCGAGAAGCTCCGTAACGCTCCGCCGTTGATCGACCGCCGTTAAACGGCGCAAGGAGGGCACAGAAACGAGAGAAAAGGGATAGCAGAGAGCATGAGAGAGAGAGAAAGAGAGAGAGAGTGAGAGAGACTAGACGAACGAACGATCAGAGCGTCCGAGGATCGACGTGTTTGCCTGGACTTCGAGCTAAAATCAGCGGCGCCCAGTTTAGAAAAGATATAAAGTGAGAAAAGGAACCAACAGGATTACCTGTCACCAGCCTACGGCGGTGTGGTTGCAGGTGTCGCAAGCGAAAGTGATTCGAAAAGAGTCGAAACGAATAGACGAGATTAGGTGGATAGGTGAACGTAGATATATATGTGTATGTATATATATATATATATATATATATATATATATATATACACCCCTAAGTCGGGAGAACAAGAGAGAGAGAGAAAGAGAGAAAGAGAGAGACCACCGAATGGAACGTTCCGCCACCTCTTCTAGCACCGCCGTAGCCGCTGCTCAGCACAGCTCATGCATTATTAAAGCCATGTATTTAGCCGATATGGGTATGCAAAGCAAGACGTAAGCCGCAATAATAAGCGTAAAGGGAAGAGGGACGATGAGGAAGGTATGGAAGAGGTGGGCAAATGGAGAGAAGGAATATCGTGGGAGGAGAGAAAGAGAGACAGAGAGAAAGAGAAAGAGAGCACGATGAAGGAAGGGATACGATGGTGGTTTGCTAGCAGGTCGACTGCTACGAAAAGGGGCTTGTATATATATATATACATATATATACATACATATATATACAAGGGGTTGTGGTGCACACACTGTCCAGGATTTTGTGCGAGATTGTGGGGAGAGAAGAGAAAGGAGGGTGTGCAGGGGATGTGATGAGAAACAGAGAAAGAACGAGTCGCTCACCTATGGTGCCCCCTATGGGCGGGGTGTAGAGATGGGGCGTTTGCGCTTGCGTCATCGTGCTGATGGTGCCCAGGGAGTCGTACAGCTCGGCGGAGGTGGCAATCGCGTTCCCGGGGAATCCTCCGTGTTCGTAGTAACCTCCGCCACCGCCACCTCCGCCTCCACCGCCGCTACCTCCGCCACCACCGCCGCCACCGCCACCTCCGCCGGCTCCAGTCCCGTTCGTACCACCGCCACCGCTCGCACCTCCGCCCCCGCCGCCTCCCAGCTCGCTCAGGAGCTTGTGCTCGTCCTTGATGCTCCATTTACTCGACCACAGCTGCAACAGAAGCCGGATGCTCGGAGGCAAAGTTCGAGTGTCGGGGAGGGGGAGGAGAACGAAACTTGCTCCCCCTCCCTCCCAAGAAACGATCGACTTAGGTGTTAAACCACTTTCCTGATTCTTTCCTGCTTCTCCAAATAGTTTGCCAAAGTTTATACATATATATATATATGTATATATAGTTAAATGTAACGTAAGGAAAGAGGGATAAAAACTTATGATGTAAAACTCGTATATACATATGCACGTACGTTCGAGTACAATTGATCGCCGTTGTAGTTGCTTCTCTGCCTCTTCAGATCGTCCTCAGGATGATCGTTCAGGTCTCGGTTGTCGTCTGCAATCAAAACCAGACATCTGCATTGCGGTCTCTCCGTGTTCAACCGTCACGCGCGAAAACACAGGGGCTGATATAACGAGATCATAGGCCAACTCACGTGTATACGTGGTGTACGCCACGAGGATGGCCCCCGTCGT